ATATTTAACATTCAAACAGTTTAATTTTGTAAAGCATTATTTAATGATAAATTATTTTTTACTTTAACATGTGTCTGATGCATGTGTATGTACACATGCTACATCAAGCATGTGGAGGTCAGAGAACAATTCTGTACAGTCAGTTCTCAATGGCCACCCTTTTTCCTTAGAGATTTATTTTTACTTTATGAATATGAGTATTTCATCTGCATGTTTGTCCGTGCACCACATGCATGCATTTCTCATAAAGGCCAGAAGAGGGAATCAGTTGTGAACCACCATGTGGGTGTTAGAAATTGAACCCATGTAGTATGGAAGAGCAGAAAGGTTTTTTTAAGGTTTTCTTTGGGGTTTTGTTGTTGCTGCTGTTGTTGTTGTTTGAGACAGAGTTTCTCTGTGTAGCCCTGCCTATCCTGGAACTCACTCTGTAGACCAGGCTGGGCTTAAACTCAGAGATCTGCCTGCCTCTATCTCCCAAGTACTGGAATTAAAGAGGTGTGCCACCACGGCCCAGCAAGCAAAAACTATTCTTAACCACTGACCCATCACTCTAGCCCATCTCCTTCCACCTTTATGTGGGTTCTGGGAGTTGAGTTCAAGTCAATAGACTTTTGCAGAAAGTGCCTCTTCCCACTAAACTATCTCAGTAGCATGATACTACTATTCTTAAAACACTTAATTTGGACCTAATGTTCTCATATTCTTTTTCTTTTACTTTACAAGAAAGCTCAGTGAAGTAGATTCCGGCCTTTCCACATTCATTAAAATACATCCATATAAACTTGTCTTGTGTACCTTAAAGAGTACTAAATAAACATTATAAAGTCTACACTAGAATGCAGATCAGAAACATATCATAACATCAACTCTATGTAGTATTCAAGGAACACACATGGCAGTTCCTGGAAGAACCAGAAAAAGTTTTGATATTGCTGGCTCGGTAAAATTGGAAAATGCCATAGTAGAGACTTAGTTTAGTGTGGCTACCCTTTTGGCAAGATGAACCTGGAGTCTGGTTCTTGGATTAGTTCAACATCTAAAATACAGAAAAAGAGGGCTCTTCTTGCTGGGAGGTGGTGGCGCACGCCTTTAATCCTAGCACTGGGGAGGCAGAGGTAGGCGGATCTCTGTGAGTTCGAGGCCAGCCTGGTCTACAAGAGCTAGTTCCAGAACAGGCACGAAAAACTACAGAGAAACCCTGTCTCGAAAATAAAATAAAAATAAAAAAAAGAGGGCTCTTCTCGGCCTTCCCCATTTTGTGCTAACTCACTCTCCGAGACCTATGAGCCACTTCTTCACACCACATTCTGGAGAGCACATGAGCAAATACTTGAGTGATCATTTCCTTATATGGAAGGGATTACTCTCTGAGGGATAATTCTGACCCAATCTCAATTCTGGCCAGAAAGGGGGAAAAAATGCCTAGCCCTTGTCCTGAAGACTGTAGGAGGAAAAATCAGGAATTTCACTGCATTTAAGTAAGATAGTGATGCTTTTGATCTGGTTCTCTGGCTTTCAGTTTGTAGATGTCCCCACCACTGTTGTATTTTTACCTGTTTGGTTAAGTGGCTGCCAAGCCACAGCCTGTGACCTCCATTCAGAACAGCCAGTTCGAGAGGCCTGAAGACTGGCTTGGTAGAGGGACTCCAATTCAGAGGTCTCTTGCTCTGTGTCTTGGTTCCAGTGTGGATGCAAAAGGATGTGATTTCTCTCTGGGTAGGTTACACATGTATGGGTATCATGGGAAGATGCGACTCCTGGCCCAGAGCCCCTGTGTTTAACCTGAGAATCACAGAGCCTTGTGACATTTACCCAGGAATCCAAAGGCACAGAAATCCCCAAGTTGACACTGCTACCCAGCTCCTTAGAATTACTATCTATCACTTGGGATAGCTTTCCTTGGTATATATTTGGCTCAGCCAACCTGGGCTGTTCTCTTCCAGGGGTTTCCCCACTGGGAAGCCCAGAGTCCATGGCAAGAGGATGATCAGCAGGATCTTCCCAGGAGGGCAGTCTTTTCCTGCTATCAAGAGAAGGCTGCTGTTTTACCCAGTGACAGTGGTCTTTTCCTGAAGCCTGGGGTAACGGAGACATAAAGTCAGAAGAAGAGTTCTTCCTTAGACCATTTGGCAAGCTTCGATCCTGGGAACCTGTAACATCCCTCATAGAGGTATTCTGCATCTTCTGGAACTGCTCTGCCAATGAGCGGACAAGTCCTTTTGTACTGGGGAACTCTGGCCTAGAGGGTTCCTCACTGCCTCTGACTAATTTTGAAGTCAATGAAGTTTGGAGACTTTGGGCTTGAAGATGTTGGTTAAGTTTCTGCATGGGTTCAATAGCATGAAGCTCAGGTGAAGAAGCAGGAGACATTATGGGATAGCAGGCCCTAGAAGGAGGAATAGTAGGCAGAGCTGATGAACCTGAAGGACTATTAGTGACTTCTCCTGTTGAATGTGACCAAGGCATCACCATGGATATGTCAACAGAATTCTTCTTTTCTTCAAACAGCAAATCTTGAACTATGCCCCTTCCTTCTTGTGGTGGGAATTTCCTGCAGCTGCTGTTGTTCTCTCTGTGGCCTTGTAGCTTATCTTCAAGGACATCCAATGGCAGGCAATCCTGCTGAGAATTCATCTCAATTCTACGGGCTGTTTTAGGTAAATCTTGCCTGTGGAACGCAGAGGGATTAATCCTGTCCACCTCAAAAGGCGGCAGAAGCGGCAAAGATCTACTAGGGGAATTGTGCTGTGGCACAGAAGCAGCAGGTGGCTCTGGGGTGAGTGACAAGTGTGGCTCAGGGTAGGAATCAGGGGAGTCGAAGAAAGAAGAACTGGCCCCAAATGTTGTATCTCTGCAGGGTTCTAACTGTGCCTCCTGGCTTAACAATAATTGGAGCGGGACAGGCTGTTCACTGAAACAAACAGAGAGAACAGTCATAAGGCGCTTTAACTACAATACTTCCAAGAGGAACTATTCGTTTCATTCCACTGACAGCTATTCACAGCTATCATGAAGAGGAAGACAGATACAAACAAAGCCAATAGCTCACAGGTTCAGAAAAGAAAAGGAAGATAAGTATTACTATCTACTCAATGTCATCAACAATTTTGTATATGTGGCATTAAGTACAGTCTTTGTTAATATTCTCCACTACCTGTGAAGTCCCATTCCAATCACAGTCTAATTGCAAATTTAAAAAGATAAAAACTGCTTCTCCCACAAGCAGATGACATAGAAGGGAAAGCCTAAAATTGCTCATACCATACAACAAAAAATCCCAGGTGCTGTACAAGGAGGGAAATGTTCCCCTATGGGGTAGCTCAGTAAAAAATGAGAAGATATTGTTATTAGAGAATACAAGGTGATTTGTATCCTATGTGTTGATCCACTGTATTCCTCATCAGATGTTTCTTCACAATGATAGACCAGGCCTCACTTCACACTGAGGAGTGGGAATCAGAACAACTGTGTTTAGTTGATTCTCATTGTTTTCTATTTATGACTGAAAAACAAGCAGTCTTATAGAAAACTTCAACCTTTCCAACTTTAGATTATCAGATCAAGATTAAGAATCTGAAAATCCAAACTAAAATGCTACAAAGCCCCACCCATTTTTGAGCACATAAACAATAATGAAGTAAGTATGGGCCCTGGAGCATCTCAGACTTCAGATTTCAGGGCTGAGGGTATTCAACCTATCTACATGAGTGTTCCAAAATCTAAAAGAAAAAAATTGAAATCTGAGCCAGGCAGCAGTGCAAAGATCTAAACCCAACACTTAGGAACCAGAGGCAGGAAGATCATAGTAGGTTGGAGACCAACACAGTCTACCTAGCAAGTTCCAGGCCAGCTAAAGCTACATATTAAAACCATATCTTGAAAAATGAAGAGAAAAAGGTAGAGGAAGGTAAGAGGAACAGAGGGAAGGAAAAGGAAAGAGACAGAGAAAGACAGACAGAAAGAGACAGAAAGACAGAGATACAAAGAACAGCTAGAGAGAAAGAAAAAGAAAGACATAAAGAGAAAGAAACAGAGACAGAGAAAAGAAGAGACATAAAATGAAAGAAACATAAAGACAGAGACAAACAGAGAGACAGACAGACAGTCACTGATTTACTTCTGGTCTCATACCATTTTAGATTAAAAAAAATACTAAACCTGTTTATTACAAATGTTTCTAGGTTTAGTCACCCTGCCACTCTTGTAACATGAATGTAAATCAACAAATAAAAACCTGGCCTAGCAAGTAGCTCATTTGGTAGAGTGCTAGCCCAACATGTAGGATGCCTTGGATTCAAGCCACAGAACTGAAGAAATCAGGGTGGTAGCAAATAGGCCTGCAATATCACCACTCCAGAAGCAAAAACAGGAAAACCAAGAGTTCAAGGTTGTCAGGCCCTAGTTAGCCTGGCTGTAAAANCTCTCTCTCTCTCTCTCTCTCTCTCTCTCTCTCTCTCTCTCTCTCTCTCGGAGAAGAAAGGAGGAAGGAAGGAGAAACAGGGAAGTGTTAGCATCAAAAAGATCTGGATTTAAATTCTATATTTCTACCACTTACTAGCTAAGGAACTATCTTCTTTGCAAGTTTCCATACTTAAAAAGCATGCTACGTAACAGCCCATGTCTCATCAGGTTATTGTAATAACAAAAAAAAAAATCAAAAAGTGCTTAGCTCTGACTTGAATGCAGGCAAATGCTCAAAAATGTTAACAACCATAATGGGGCTGATAGTCAAAAGACAAACAACCAAGGCAGCGGTTTCAGTTCTTCACTGAAAGAACACTTGCCTAGTAGTATATACAAGTTCCTGGGTTCTATCCCCAGCAACACACACACATACATGAAAAAAGTTATCTACTTTTATTATATTTTAAAAACTATTCAAATTTATTAACAGCCAAAGTTAATTTTTACTTAAATTCATTTATTCTAAGTAAATGCCAAGTTGAAACCCCCAAAATATGGTAACTATTCCAGTACCTGTTGAGACTTTTTCCTATCCCAACCTTAGAGAAACAAACAAAGAAATCTTTGTGTCTCTTCCCTATGGTTTAATCAAAGCAAGATAAACTGGTTATTTTCTTGGAAGGGATGGGAAACACTGAAATCCCAAAATAAATCAAATGGTTGCTACTACAACATGAAAGGCAGACCAGATCCCATAAGAACATAATAAATACAAACATAATAATCATGTTGTTATACAAGTCCTGGGAATATGGATAACTTATTATTTGGTACTTTTTTGCATCTTTCTAAGAAAAGGACCATCCATGCAATGAGTTTTCGTATCTCTGACCTGAGAGAAGAAAATCTTAGCCGTTTTTCTCTCTTCCCTAGTAATGGAGAAGACAAGAGTTCATGCTATGGAGCACTCATGGCCACTTCCTCCCCTGATGTCCATAAACTAATGTGGTTTTTAAGCACTACCTTGTAAGCTGAGGGACGGCACCCCCCTGTGGTGGGAGAGAGGCTGAGGGCTGCACCGGCTGCTGCGATGATGGTTGCTGCTGCATGCGATCCTGCAGGCTTCGTGCTTTTCGAATACTGATTTGCAACTTCTTATCGACTAGTGCTCTGCTGTGCGTGCTAGAGCTGGCACCATGCAGGGTAAGTCTTAGTTTAGCTAAAATGCAAAAGAAAATATAGCAGAAACACAAAATACAAACAAAAATAAAAGAACAAAAACTAAACCAAAACCAAGCAAAGATAGGCAGTAAAACAAAATATGCAGCAGGAATGCAATGCACTGGGCTATGCATGCACTGTTCAGGGACGGAACCGGCTCTGGCTCTATGAAACATTCATGGAAACCATGGAGGCCAAACAAGTTAATTCAAATGTAAACAAACAAAACACTAAAGAAAAGAAAACAAAACTTGAAAGGAACCAGGAAGATAAAATTAGTGCTTAGAGGTTGCCACCTTATCTTTTCACTGACCTGTCTCCACATTCTGCTCCCCCAACTCCCCCTTTCTGATGGCCCACAGCAAAAACATTAAGATACAAACCTGCATCTGTCTTTATAGAGCACAGCTTTTCGTGGGTCCTATTTAGGAGTCAGATACCATTATGGTACTGCACACCAGGAAGGCAGGGCAGAAACACAAGGAATGGAATATTACAATGAAAAGTTCCTGGCCTAGGAGTCAGAGCCAGTTTATTCAGTTTTCCTACTGTAGTCAGGGACTACAGGAAGAGTGGGCTAACCTCATATCTGAAATCTAACTTTATTTGGGGGGTGAAAACACTACTGAAGAACTCATCTGTGGCTCCTGTGGTTGTTCCCGTAGGATGTCCACAAACTATAGTGACACCACCAGGTACATTTTTAAATCTGAAGGGCAAAGATAGCCACCTGGCCTCAGCTTGGAAACACAAAAGACATTAAAAACTGTTCATAAAGCCATCTGTGTGATAACACAAATACCTACTGTGGAGTTAGTCAAAGATGCCATAGTTGTAGCAGTTGAGTTACTTACAGATAGCTTCGTTACAGAGAGCCAAAGCTGCAGCACAGTCTCCCTTTTGTTCCAGATGCAGGGACTCTTCAAATACTGAATTTGCCTCTTGCAAGGACCTTTCAAAACCGTCACTCCTCCCTGAAAGGGCCAGCACTTTTCATTTTTATTATAATTAATCCCAACTTCTCCTGTGTACTGTTTCTTCTCTTTGGGACACATATATACTTGTTAAGCTACTGATCTAACTGTTCATTGCTATTAAGAAGTCTTTAGAACAAGTAAGGCATCAGTTTTTGCCTTAACTGAGACCTAAGCAAGGCCAGGAAAAGGGAGGAACGTGCTGCCATACTCACATTCCAACTCTAATGCCTGCTCAAGGCAACAACAATTTTCCATAGTAGCAGCATGGCTCTTAAGCCTGGAACTAAACAGCTCTTCTATGAGACAACAGGACACACCTTGTCAACTACCATGAGAACACCTCCAGACTTCTACTGCTGTAATGGCAACCATGGGTTTAACTATTCTGTAGAAAGTCATCCATACCATACCACTTCTCCATATAGGTACATTTCTCTCTTCACCACCCTGTTCTATCAATACACCTCTTGAGCAGAGGTGGTCTATACAGTTTCTATTTCAAGATATCTACCACAGAGGTTAAACTGCATTTGTACATGGACCACCCTTTCTGTAGCAATGCAAAGTTTTTGCTTTTATCATGCCTCACTCACCAAAAGTATCTCTAAAAAGCCACCTCCCATATAACTCACAAAGCACATGTGGGCCAAAGGAAGAACAAAAGAGTAGTCCAAGAACAGTGTCAGATGAAAGGACTAAGAAGCACAGCAGGGTAAACTTTCATGAAGGGCCATCAAGTAGTCTTACTTTCTAGCCATCTATAACCATTAACTGGTGGTAAATTATAATAATTCACCTATGACTGGAATTGACATTGAGCCTTCACATGGTCACAAGGGCTGGAAGGAATGAAATTTCAAGCACATGCCCATTATCCCCAGTACTGGGGAAGAAGAGGCAGGAAGATTCCTGATCGACATAGCAAGTTGCCAGCCAGGCATGGTTATATAATGAGATTCTGTCTCAAAAAAGCAAAATAACAAAAATGAAACAGAATAAAAAGCCCGAGTCAATTCTCTTCATAATGTGACACTTCCTCTAACTACCTCCAGATGGACATGATAAGAAGGGCTTGGCTACAACCTTAACCAATTCACTTCCTACTTCTTTTAGTTTTTAGAAAGCAAGAAGGGACAGGCATGGTGGCGCATGCCCTTAGTCCCAGAACACAGGAGGCAGAGGCAGGCAGATCTCTGTGAGTTTGAGGCCAGCCTGGTCTACAGAGCAAGTTCCAAGACAGTCAGGACTACAGAGAAACCCTGTCTTGGGGAGGTGGGGGGGGGGGGTTTAAAGAAGGAAGGAAAAAAAATAAGAAAGGAAGAAGACAGTGGAAAGTAAGCTGGTTCTGAAAATCTTAATAGTCAGTTTCTACCCTCTTCTCTAGAACTCTGATTTCCCCCAGCCCTAGCCCTATACCCTAAGTTCTTTCACTATAATTGGAATCAACTAAATCTAAACATCTTTACAATCAGAAGTGGTAGCTTTAAAAACAAAACAAAAAGACCAAAAGGACAAAGAGGTATACACATATAATCCCTTCAGAGGCCCAAGCAAGATAGTGGGACCATGTAAAAGTTCTCTATAGTTAATGAATCAGTATGCTAGATTTAGATCTTCATCATCTGGAATCTCAGCGCTCCGGGCTTCAGTCTTCTGCATCTTAGCTGATAGAGAACTGACAATGAAACGCAATCAGGAGGACTCAGCTTTAATGCACACTTAACTAAGAGAGTAGGGAAAGGACAAAGAGGAAGATAACAAGATCTCTCTTTCAGTAGCAATATAATTGAATTGCATGCCTGTAATCTCAGCACTTGGGAAGAGAATCACAACAACTGTGAGGCCAACTAGATCTACAAAGTGAGCTCTAGGTCAGGCAATGCTATAGAGTGATGAGATCTGATCTCAAAAAAGGGTTAAAAAGGCTAAGGAAGCCAGGCAGTAGTGGTGCATACTTTTAATCCCAACAGGTGGATCTCTATGAGTTCAAGGCCAGCCTGGTCTACAAGAGCTAGATCCAGGACAGGCTCCAAAGCTACAGAGAAACCCTGTCTCAAACAAAAAACAAAAAAATAAATAAATAAATATGATGTGGGAGTGTCATATATCAATCTGTTGATTTCATTGGTTAGGCAATAAAGAAACTGCTTGCCCTGATAGGTTAAAACATAGGTGGGAGGAGTAAACAGGAGGAAGAGGAAGTGAGGTAAGACTCCTCAGACAGACCCGACAGCTCTGCTCTCTGGAGCAGAGACGCCATGCTCAGCTCTCCAGGGTAGACACGATAGCTCTGCGCTCTGTGGCAGACGCGATGAAGCTCAGACCCAGGATGGACATAGGCTAGAATCTTCCCAGTAAGCGCACCTTGGGGTGCTTACACACATTATTAGAAATGGGTTAAATTAATATGTGAGAATTAGCCTAGAAGAGGCTAGATAGAAATGGGCCAAGCAGTCTTTAAATGAATACAGTTTGTGTGTTATTTCGGGCATAAGCTAGCAGGCGGCTGGGGTGCTGGGGACGCAGCCCAGCCGCTCTTATTTCAACATAATAAATAAATAAATAAATAAATAAATAAATAAATAGGCAATGGAAATGGCTCAGCTGATAAACTGTTTGCCTTACAAGCATGAAAACTTGAGTTGCACTCTCAAAGCACACATGAAAAAAAGCCAGATATTGAAGTATTCATTTGTAATCCTAGCACTAGGGAGGCAGAGAAAGGTGTGTCCTTGGGATTAACTAGTCGACCAGATTAGCCTACTTAATTGGACTCCAGACTAAAGAAAATACACCCCTTGGGGATGAGGTGGGATAGACAACATCTACTAAGTTGTCCTTTGGCTTGCACATGCACTCACTTGTACCTGCACACATACAAACATAAAAATACAGAGCATAATATAAACCTGGAACTTCAAATTGATAAAACTTGAGTTCAAAATAAAAAAAAAAATAGACTATCCAAATACAGAAACAGTTAAGCGGAATTGAAAAAAAGCAGAATTTAAAGCTCTTTTTAAAATATTCTATTTTTACTTTTAATTTTTCAAGATAGGGTTTCTCTGCCCTGGCTATCCTGGAACTCATTCTAAAGACCAGGCTGGCCTTGAATTCATAGATCTGCCTGCCTCTGCCTCCTGAATGCTGAAATTAAAGCTATGAGTATGCTAGATTTAGATCTTCATCACAATAAGTTTTAAAGCACATCTTGAAATAAACACAACAAATAACTTGGGAAACAGAAGACAAAATTGTCCTGAATCAAAGTATGAAAAGAGCTAAGAAAAAACAGCTAGTCCAAGGGTACTGGCTCCTAGACTGCATACTGTTACTAGCAGAACCTATAGAAAGAAGATACCTCAAGTTGTTGAACTCCTATTTTGAAGACTAGTCTCAAGGCACAAAGTAATAATATAAACTAATTTGGTTTTGTGGATTTTGGTGAGGGTAATTAATCAAAATAAGGCAGTTGGAGAAATTTACATCTATATACAGATGCGATTTGGGAATGAGTTGTCATGGGATCAAAATAAATCATGATTGGGTATAGTGATAGTTTAGTTGTTTTAATAAACAAAGCATTCCTGAAGATCAAGGGTAAACCTAAGCCACTAGAGGCCAGGCAGTGATGTCACCCACCTTTAATCCCAGGATTTGAGAGACAGAGGCAGATGGATTTCTGTGAGCTCAGAGCCACCCTGGCTACACAAGATCAATGCAGAAACAGATCCAGGTGGCAGTGGCTCACACTTGTAATCTCAGTACTAGGGAGTCACACGCCTTCAATTCCAGCACTAGAGGGGACTATAAAATGGGAGGAGAATGAAGCTCAGGACTCAGTCTGCAGTTGCCCAGCCTTGGTAGAGGTAAGACTTCTTTAGTGGCTTAGTTGTTTTGTTTTTCTGATCTTCAGCTTGAGCCCCAATATCTGTCTCTGGGTTTTTATTATTCATGCTACAATTGGGTGTGATGGTACATAGCTACCACCCCAGTTATGTGGGAGGCTAAGGCAGGATGATATGAGTTCAAGGCCTGTCTGGGCAACAAAGGGAGAACCCCATTTGGAAAACAACTCAAACCCCAGAACCAAAACTGAAAACAAAAACTAGCACATTATGGCTAGGAATATAGAAATATAGCGCAGACTTTTACTATTTTTTCACACAAGACTTTGACAGGAATAGATTCCTACTAATACAAATATTTAACTTCACATTTCAGAGAAAGAGAGAGAGAGAGAGAGAGAGAGAGAGAGAGAGAGAGAGAGAGAGAGATAGCTCAGAGAGCCTGCCAGGCTCCAGCACTTCATTAAAAACATTACTACCCTTTCTTGTTCTCTCATTCTCTCAAAAAGGCCTGCTTTTTGTCCCACCCAGCTCCCGCATGGCTAGCTTAGCCCTGGAAATAACAACAAACTGTATTCTTTTAAACACTGCTTGGCCCATTAGCTCTAGCCTCTTACTGGCTAACTCTCACGTCTCGATTAACCCATTTCTAATAATCTGTGTAGCACCACGAGGTGATGGCTTACCAGGAAGGATCTTAACCTGCGTCCATCTTGGAGAGAAGAGCTATAGCGTCTCCCTCACTGCCTTTCTTCCCAGCATTCTGTTCAGTCTACTCCACCTAACTAAGCTGTTGTCCTATCAAAGGCCAAGGCAGTTTCTTTATTAACCAATGAAAATATCACACAGACAGATGACCCTCCTCCATCATCTCAGTTAAGATTTGTGTTGCTTACACATTTCAGAGATGTTTAAGGGAACCATTTTCCCTGAGTAATGCACTATTTTTAATCATCAAGCTTTAAACTTTTTAAATTTTATGTGTTACAGGTATTTTGCCTGTATATATGTCAGTGTACCTCATGTGGTCCTGTGACTATAGAAGTCAGAAGAAGACATCAGATACCTTGAGACTGAAGTTGCAGATGATTTTGAGCTACCCATGTGGGGACTGGGAAGCAAACTCAGGTCCTCTAGAAGAGTAGCCAGTACTTTTAACAACTAAGACATCTCTCTGGCCCCTAACCTTCAGGTTTTTAATGGTTGTACCTAGAAGTACTGCTATCTCTAATCAATAAACTTGTCCATTCTTAACTCTCTCTCTCTCTTTTTTGTAATGTGTAGCCCAGGCTGACCTCGAACTCGTGATCCTCTTGCCTCTGCCTCCTTCAGCAAATCCTACTGGCGTGTGCCACCACAACAGGCTAACTTAACTCTCATTATAGTAGTTGAACCAAGATAAAATCAAATATTGCTAAAAAGTAGATTAGAAATCTCTAAGTGTGGACTTTACTTTTTGCCTTTTCTCTCTCTGCCCATTACCTACCTACAGCCTAATTCTCACAATTACCCTGATTCTGCAGTTCATCCAAGTCCATGTATCGGCTGGGATGAGGGTTAAACCCTTTAGCAGCCTCTAATTCCTTCTCCCGCTTCTTTCGAAGCTCCTGTTCCTGGGCCCGCCTGGCCACTTCTTCCTGTAGTTCATCCAGCTCACTTTTAGAGGTGATCTCCCCACCTGAGATACAAGTGAAGACAATAAATTACAACATTTCCACAATCGAGCTGAATTATCTGTTGGACTTATAGTGGTATAGCCTTTGGAATTCTGGCTTTCCAGCTCATACTTTGGACAGTGCTTTCCTTATCAAATTCAGAGAGTTGTGGGACATGAATAACAATGATGTTAACAACAACATACAAATTTTCAATATTCTATTAACAGTAACAGCATAACTCCTAACACTTCTTAAGCATTTCAATATACTAAGAACAGCTTTAAAAGCATTTTACATATATTATTTCATTTAAATCTCTCAAGTGATAAGGTATACAGCCATGTTAGGAAAAGAGAAAACTGGACACAGAAAGGTAGCACAGATGGCAGATGGTAGAGCTGACTTCAAGTCAAGTAGGTTAAATTCAGCTGGGGCTGGAGGCACAGGCCCATGATCACAGCTATTCCAAAGGGGGATGGAGAAGGATAACTAGTCCAAGGCCTACTTGGCTTATAGAATAAGTTCAAAGCCAGCCTAGAGAACTTAGTGAGACCATGTCTCAATAAGTATCTGGTCATGGTATTAATACCTATAATACTATACTTGGGAAGCTGTAACAGAGGAACTGCCATGAATTCAAGGCCAGCTTAAGTTATATATTATAAGTTTCAGGCCAGTACAGATTATATAGAAAGAACCTATCTCAGAAAACAAAACAACAACAAAAAGCTGGGGTATAGCTCAGTAGCAGAGTACTTGTCTAACATGCTAACATGTAGGACCTCCAAACTCCTGGGTACTAAAAAAATAAAATAAAAAGTAGTCATTTTTCATTTTTTTCCTCTGTTAATTTCCACCACTTTTTAAAAATCAGTTTGTAAATTATCCACTGTAAAAACTCACATTTAAAGAGCTCATTGATGACCTCTAAATAGATCGGGAATAATAGACATGATAAATCAAGGAAAAGTGTAGGGATAGAATAGGATGTACAGTGTGTTTTCATTTTTAACAGTGACGCTTAAATGTATGTACTTAAACACCTATGCATTTACATAAGCATATATACCACAGAGTTAACACCGGTTCCTTCAGTTTTAGGAGGTAAAAGGTAGGCTATTGAATTGTTGGACCCAATTTACTTCTATAGTTGGGTCTATTTGTTGTTGTGTATGTGTGTTATGTGTGTGATGTATCTGTGTACTTCTTCACATGCGGATACATGTGCATGTGAGTAAAAAAAATGTCATCACTTTGCTAAATATCTTTTGCTTGTTAAGAAAGAAGATTATATTCTATCCAGCTAATCCAGAACTGAGGACTAAAAGGGAAACCCATGAGACACAGTTTTTATTATACTGAAAATGGGTCACCTATCTGAAGAGACTAGAAAGGATAGTAGGTAGGTTAATCCACATTCACAAGTCTCTTAATGTTGCATGACATAAAATAAATGAAATGTGAACGATAAGCACAGTACATAATTTTATGAGGAAGCAGGCATGTCTTCTGCCAGGCCTTTACTTTAACTTACCCAGTATTCCAAGCGCACCTTTCTCTATATATTCCTCTGCCTGGCTAGTGTCAGCACGAATACCTAAGCAAGTTCACGCCTTCTTATTACTGTTCCTACACACTCCTTTCCCCCCGGCCTCTAAGAACCGCTGAGGACCATCAATCAACTGGTAGGTACTGAGACTATTATACAGAAGCAAGGGTGAGGTCAACCTGAACAGATAATGTCATGGTTCTGCCCATGTATCTATGTTGTAGCTCAGTTCACAACACCAGTCATGAAGAAAGCCATTTCTCAAGACATTGCCTATAACAAAAAAGCCCTAGGACTTATTCTTTTTTTAAAATATTTCTTTCTTTTTTTAATATTTATTTACTTATTATGTATACAATATTCTGTCTGTATATATGCCTGCAGGTCAGAAGAGGGCAGCAGACCACATTACAGATGATTGTGAGCCACCATGTGGTCGCTGGAAATTGAACTCAGGACCTTTGGAAGAGCAGGCAATGCTCTTAACCTCTGAGCCATCTCTGCAGCCCTGGACTTATTCTTTTCTAATATGGAAAACTGTTTTTACCATCATGCATCATATTTCTGTCCCTCCTCCTTTCACAAAACTCCTTCCAATGTTAAAACATTCAGGCAATATCAAACACACTGGACAACTTTGCATACATCATGCCTGGACTATGACCTCCAAGAATCCTGGGACAAAAACCTAACTAACCCTTTACTAGTTTATGTATATATGACAGTTCCAGATCCCCCACTGATCTCTGGGTATAGGTTTTAAATTTTTATATCTATATATACGTATATGTATATAATGTACAGTACATACACAGGATTATAACTGCTTTTAATAATTTTAGGAAATGGCAAGGATTTAGCTAAAAAGGACTTTGGCATGACTGTAGACGTGGGATTATTTCTTGTGTGAAAAATATCTGCCTTAAAAATCAGTGTAATTTGGGGAATAAGGGTTTATTCTGGGTGTCATGTGTATCTCATTATAGACAGCTAAAATGTTATTTTTTTCCAAGCTTGCTTGTACCTCTAGACCATCACTGACCATTTGCCTTACCTGTCTTATAATTGGAAATTAAAAATATAAAAGATTTAAAAAAAAAACCCACATTCAGGCAAGCTGTGAAAAAAAAAAAAAACAGAGAAACTGAGGGAAAGCAGCTGAGAAGTCTCCACATTACACTTGGGGACGAATATGTTTGGATGGGTATGTGTGTTCATTCACATGTGTGTGGGTGCATGTGGAGGCCAGAGATCACACTTGGTACTATACTCAGCTGCCATCCACTGTGCTTTTTGAGACATGATCTCTCAGTAGGACCTGGGACTTGCTGATTTAGCTTGGTGCCAGTGAGCTCTTTGGATATGCCTCCCCAGCATGCTGGGAATCGAGCCCAGGTCTTCATGGTGCATAACAAACACTTGCCGACTGAGCTACATCTTCAGCACACATATTTACATTTTGATGGAATTTTCAAACAACAATTGTCCGTTGAAGTATTCAACAGAGTTATTTCCCAGTCGGGTGGTGGTGGCGCACGCCTTTAATCCCAGCACTCGGGAGGCAGAGGCAGGCAGATCTCTGTGAGTTTGAGACCAGCCTGGTCTACAGAGCTAGTTCCAGGACAGGCTCCAAAGCCACAGAGAAACCCTGTCTCGAAAAACCAAACCAAAAAAAAAATTGTTTCCCGAATAGAACTGGTGGTCAGATCCAGTATCTTCCTGTTTACCTGAGAGGGGCTGAGTCTTTGTCCAGCCGGTCATGGATGCTGTGGAGTCTACCTCCAGGATGCTACTGCTGTGAGACTTCGGGATATGACGCCAAGAAGGAACAAACCCTGGTCTCTTTGTGCTTTGATCCCTTCAAAAAAGAATCCACAGTAGTAAAAGTTTCAAAGGTGGCTTCTAACAACATTCCTAAGACTAAAATTCAAAACAGAAAGCAGACATCATGAAAGCTTGGGAACAAAGGCCATGGGGCAAAACCATGCTGCAGCAGCTCCAGAGGCTGAGGGAGGAAAATGAGTTAAGACTGGGAATTCCAGGCTGGGGCAACCAGAATAGAACAAGAATTCATTTCAGACTGAAAAAAAGGGAAAAAAATAAAACAGCTTTTGTACTCTAATTATGCTTGTGAAAAGACTGGGGTGAAACATGATGATGGACACCTTTAATCCCAGCACTGAGGAAGCAGAAGCAGGTGGGTCTCTGTGAGTATAAAGCCAGGCTATTCTATAAAGTAAGTTCCAGGCCAACCAAGACTACACGGTGAGACTCTGTCTACTTTAACAGAACAAAAACAAAAACAAAAAAAAAAAAAACAAAAAAAAAAAACACAGAAAGAAAGAAAAAGAAAAGGGAGGTAGAGAAAGGACTCTGAGAGTGAGGGAGGCTCTAACTTGACTCCTAGCCCTGTCCTGTGACGGACAGGCTCACTAACTCCTCAGCAAACAGAGTGTTTGCTGCTAAGAGTGTAAAAAAAAAAACATTGTGCCCTGGGGTTGGAGAGATGTCTGAGTAGTTAAGAGTATGGGCTGCTCTTCCAGGGGCCCAGCACCCCATGGCAGCTCACAACTGTCTGTAACTCCATTGCAGGGGATCTGATAACACAGACATACATGTAGGCAAAATACCAACACAAATAACTATAAATTATTATCATTATTTACTTACTTGTTTATTTATTTATTATGTATACAATAATCTGTCTGCATGTATGTCTGCAGGCCAGAAGAGGGCACCAGACCTCATTACAGAGATGGTTGTGAGCCACCATGTGGTGGTCGGGAATTGAACTCAGGACCTTTGGAAGAACAGGCAATGCTCTTACCACTGAGCCATCTCTCCAGCCACTATAAATTATTTTTTAAAAAAATCTGTGTCCTTAGACTGGTAGGATGGCTCAGTGGGTAAAGGTGCTTGCTACCTAGCCTGATGACCTGAGATCAAACCAAGGCATCCCCACAGTGGGAGAAAATGGATCTCTGCTGCCCTAAGCCCACACATACACAATTTTTTTTTTATTTTACAAAAAAAAAAAAAAGTACCCTTAAGAACAACTAGAATGTAGCAGACTATCTCCAATCAAAGTTGTTATTGTTTATCCTATAGTATACAAATGCCTACAATAGGAACTAGAATTAGAAGGTCAGCCATGGAAAGGTCAGAAAAAACTGTATACCAAGATTCTCAGTAGGAAACTGCAGTTGGCTGCCTCAGCTTCTCCAGCCAGCTTGTGCTGAATGACTGTAAGCCCCAATTTGATGGTATTAGCTGTTTGCTATCATTTGCTCTTTTACTTAGAAGTCTCAGCCAAAGGGATACTCCGCTCTGCTCAGGATTCTCTCAATCAGGAACTCCAACTGGCTGCCTCCAGGGGCCTTCCCCAGTCAATTTCTGCTAACTGTTTCTGAGCTCCAAATTGATTATGTTACTTTTGCTTGCATTCTCAATTGGGCTACTTTAGTCATCTCGGAATGTACAACAGATTTTATGATGTCTTGTCTACCTGCTGCCGACTAGTCATCCTTCTTGTCTTTTGCTTACTTAAATGAACTCGCTCATTCTGCTATATGGCTTCTGAAGCAGATACTTGTGTTCTTCTCTAGTTTCCTTCGCATCTGTGTGTCTAATAATATCTGGCTGCCAGGCGCTGGTGGCACACACTTTTAACCCCAGCATTCAGACCGCAGAGACAGTAAGATCTCTGTGAGTTCAAGGCCAGACTGGTTTACAGAGCAAGTTGCAGGACAGCCAGGACTACACATAGAAAAACCTGTATAGAAACAAAACCAAACAAAAATATCTAGCATCTCCGAGCGAGGGGGAAGAGGACCAGACACATTATGTACATGTATGAAATTGGCAAAGAATAAACTAAACTCCTCAAAGTAAAAAAAAAAAGAAACTATTAAGAGAAGAAGTCAAGAACATTATTCAAGTTTACCATATTGTTGGTTATATGTATATTTACTCTCAATCTATTATTCTTTTAAATATACTACCTATCACGTCAAATAACTGATTTATGAAACTTTTTGTATAAGCTGTTCAATCTACTGTGATAAATATAATAAAAACTAGCATTCCAAAAAAAAATATCTAGCATCTAGCAGACATCCAAAACCTACTATGTGAATTAAAGAAGATATTCTCATATTATTTTCTTATTTCTTACTGATACCTTTTATTTTGGAGGGCAGAACTGTGAATCTTACCCATGCTGGGCAAGTACTTTAACCACTGAGCTAAATTCAAGCCCAATGTAATAAACCTTCGTAGCATTTTTCATACATAAAACATGGTCCAGTAGGTAGGCAAGAACAATGGGAAAAAGAAGGATATGGCAAAACGCTTTCAAAGGAGTATAGAATCATTCCTTTCAAAACAGAAGATTAAAAATACTGTTTCTGGTTGGCAGAGGGGAGATGTGTGGTGCATGCCTTTAGTTGAATTCCAGAAATCGAAGCCAGCCTGGTCTACCATGCAAGTTCCAGGACAAGCAAGAGCTACACAGAGAAACCCTGTCTTAAAAAACCAAACATACAAACAAACAAAAAGCAAGTAAAAATAAAAATAATAATAATAATATTGCTTCCACAGCAACAATAAAAACAATGTATGAAGCGCAAAATGAGGCCTATAGGCAGGGTATAATGAGCTATACAAAACTGTCATTATTATGTTATAGGATTATGATTTTCAATGGTTTCATAATTGGGTCCCCAGTACTCAAAACCATGACAGAAATCAAGAATAAGTTAAAAATAGGATTTCTCTCCCCTCCCCCACTGTTTAACAGTCCTAGCTGTCCTGGAACTTGCTTTGTAGACCAGGCTGGCCTCGAATTCACAGAGAGCCGCCTGCATCTGCCTCCCAAGTGCTAGGATTAAAGGCGTGCACCACCACTGCCCAGGCTCTTCTGTGATTTTAAAATCAATGTTTTGACTCACTAATTCATCTTTTGTTGAAAAATATTTACTAAACAATTGATTTTCATTTATGCATGTGTCTGCACATGCTTATGGTGGGTGCCTGTAGAAGGCAGAGTAGTATGTTAGATCCCCTAAAGCTAAAATAGCCTGATGTGGGTGCTGAGATTCTAATGAGGACCTTTGCAAAAACAACAAGTACTTTTAATTACTTAGTGATGTTTTTGACCTCCCAAACAATTTTTAAAATTAAAATGTAAGATCACAATCATTCACGGTGTGTATGGTGGTACACTCCTGTCATCTTGGCACTCTGGAAATCAGGCAAAAGAATCAACTTAAGTTGAAGGTCGGTCTGGGCTACAAAAACGAATTTAAGAAGAGACTGAGCTACAATATTATATCCAAGAGATTGGACATTTCAAGTGTACAACACAGTGCATGTGGCAGAATAGGTTAATGCTCAAGGCTGCCAAATGTAAAGCAGAAATCAGCACCCATTACCTCACAGAGACTTGTTCTGTCTTTTTGTGTCAAGAGCAGCTAAAATCTCATTCATTATGAATTCCACAAACAGTACAATTTTAAAAGCTTATATTTGTGTTGTATATTAGATCTCTAGACATGTTGGTCCTACACGCCTAACAAATGAGGAACATTTTACAAGTTGGCACCATTACCCTTGTTAGTATTCTCTATATTGCTCCAACTTTATTATGTTTTATTTAAGAAAGTACTAAACAAATATTACTGCATAGCTAATGCTTGAAATGAAAGTCACTGCCTTTACTCCTCCTCCCAACAGAGGGTGCTGCTGCTACAGAAAAGTGGATAGAGAAGATGACTGGACAGTCCTAAAACCTATCTCTGCACTCACCTAACTCACAGCTGGAAGCTCCCACTGCCGCAAAGAACTACTGCTATAAAGCAGACAATACCTGTAGACATTCACAGTCTCAGGAGGGGCCACATCCAAGCTCACAGGGCTGTTGCTGTTCCTCTCGCTGCTCTCATAGCCAGATTCCATCCGCTGGATCAGGCGTGGATGTTGCTCTAAAAGATGAGAACCTGGCCGGGCTGCGCCCCAAGGTTTATGCTGTGAGCTTGGTCCACCAGCTTTAATGTCGTAAGCAAGTGGCTTGCTTATTTCATCTGGTGTCTGTTCCTTAGCTACCCCAAAGGACAAATAGAGGAAGTAGATTTAGAGTTTGACTAAAAGAAAATCTAACTAAACCCATCCTTTAGACATTATTCACTTAAATCATATCTTCAAAAAACATAACAGCAGAGTAAAGATGTTCCTTGACAGCTACACTAGAAAACTCAGAATGTCTTCTTTTAAATTTATTTATTACATATACAGTGTTCTGTCTGTACACCAGGAGAGGGCACCAGATCTCATTATAGATGGTTGTGAGCCACCATATGGTTGCTGGGAATTGAACTCATGACCTCTGAAAGAGCAGCCAGTGCTCTTAACCTCTGAGTCATCTCTCCAGCCCCCAAACCCAGGATTTTTAAACATACAAATCAATCATATCTGAAAGCCCATTTGTTTCCTTATTTCTGCTCACCTGAATCTTCAGAAAAGGTCCTAAGTTGGGTATAGCCACAATGTTTCCTTTTGTCCTTACTAAAAATGCTGTCAATATTCAGAGACTCTCGTTTGGGTCTCCATGTTGGGCGGTACTTGCTGGAAGAACTGGATTTCACTTCACTACTGGTACTCTCAGTTTCCCAATCCCGAGAGCATAAAGGCAAGTTCCTTGGTAGTGTCTTGTCTGGCTGGTCACCTGCCCTCCCTGCACCAGGAGATCCCACATTGGTCTGAGAAGCCAAGGAAGGCCTGCTGTAGATCATATTGCTAACTGTCTCTTTGAAATCCTTTAGCCTGCTGGTGCTGCTGGATTTGGAGGCATTCCTAGGAGCCTGCTTCTCTTTCAGTGTTTCTCCTAGAAATTAGAAAGAATGAAAGAAAAAAAAAGGTGTTTAAAATAATCACAAATGTCTTGATCCTAAAGTTTAGTGGAGGAAGCAAAGGAGTCGGACGGCTTGCCTTCACTGTGATAGCCTGAGGCCTGGGCTTCATCACCTTTCCTCCTAGCACGGCCAGAGCTCCTCTTGCGCTCTACCAGAGACCCTTTCTTCCATGTTTGCTTCTGATTACATTCACTATCAGTTAGGTGGCCTGAAAGAACAAGGAAATGGGAGTGAGCTGCTTTCTGCAAATGACCCCTCCCCTGTTGAGAGGGGTCTCCCTTTGGGACATGTAGTAGTGCCACACATTTATTATACACATGAATCAGAAACTGTAAGGGTCAGAACTATCTGATGTAAGTGTAAGACTCTCTCAGTAGCTAAGTGAAGAAAAGCTCAGGTAATCAACGGTGCCTTCCCAATCTAACATATCCTGAACAATCACCAGCCTCAAACCATATTCATCATCTTTCCCGTGACCCAGAAAAACTAAAGATGTTGATTAACAACTTCTGTTTGCTCTTTAGTGCTGAGGAATCAAAACTTTGCAAGACCAAGTAGGCACTGGTTCATCAGCCCTTGCCAATTTTTCAAAGATAAACAAACAAATAAATAAATGTCATGAACCCACATTTATCGTCCCACCCCACCCCACCCCCCTTTTTGGGGACAGGGTTTCTCTGTGTAACATCATCTGTCCTAGAACTCATTTTGTAGACCAAGCTGGCCTTGAACTCAACACAGATCCACTAGTTTCTGCCTCCCAAGTACTGGAACTAACGGTGTACACTACCACACACGACACTTTCTTCTTTTTTTAAATCTGAGGTAAGTGGGTTTTATTTTGTTTACTTAAGGCAGTCTTGTTAGGGTCTTGCTTTTATTCTATACAGTCCAGGCTGGCCTTAATTCACAGCAATTCTGCCTCTTATACACTGGAATTAGAGGCATGCATCACGTCCACCTCCCACCCTCATAAACTGAAGTCAGTTTGCTTTTACTTATTTGGCAGCAGCTCTCATTGTATGTGGCTTTAGGATTCAGTTCTAAACCCTCTGCAAATGTGAAATTTAAAAGGTATTTCAATTTTGTTTATTTTTCATTCTCATCCCCAACCTATGCTCTACCAAATCTGACTTCACTCAAACATACATAATTCCTTGTCAATAATCATTGAGAAACCCCAAGGAAAATCAATATTTTATGTAACTTTCCTGGCATCATACCTGTAATATGCAAATGTATGAGTATGATTTATATTAAAGAAAGGTCAGATTCTGAAGAATACAATCAGCTATGCAGCTGGAACCCAGAAGGTGAATGAAGTTTGATGACAGGCTAAATAAAGATACTGCCCAGATTCTCAAATGCATGAAAGCTAACAAATTTATTTTGACATGTTGGTGTATAAAGAGCCTTATAGGCACTTAGGTTATCAATAATGCAATGAGATGGATATTATTATCAACCAATCGCCTCATGCAATCTTTTATTGCTTTTATCCATCTATCTGTTTATTTGGGCCCAAGAGAAACACTTACAAAAAGAGACAATCACCTACAGCAACTAAATGATACCAAGGTTAAACCACTAGGGATTCTACTGACCGTAAACTTAATACATACATCATTCCCTCACAGGAGTGGCTTCTCTCTGACTCACAGTGCCAGAAAGATAGCCTTACAAAACAATTGCACCTAACATCATCTATACAAAGTCTTTAAGAGAAATCCAATGAGTCTGACCAAACTTCTAGGTCCAACTTATAATAAAGAGGATGGAGGCAGTAGTAGTGTATACCTTTAATCACGGTACTCAGGAGGAAGAGAAAAGTGGATCTCTGTAAGTTCAAGGCCAGCCTAGTGTACAAAGCAAGTTGCCTGACAGCCTGGGTACACAAAGAACCCTGTCTCAAAAAACAAACAAACAAAAAGCAGGAAGGAAAGGAAAGGAAAGGAAAGGAAAGGAAAGGAAAGGAAAGGAAAGGAAAGGAAAGGAAAGGAAAGGAAA